TGGTGTTGTTGAATACTCTAAACACTTCTTAGCCCTGCATGAAAGTGGCAACCTGTCCAAGGTGTGTTCTGCCTCTCATCCCATGCTAGCTGGGAGAGGCTCCCCCCCCCCCTCTTTTTATCAAGATTTTCTAGATGCTTTGGTCCTTAAACACTCCCCATCATCAGGATGATGCCTGCCCCCAGGTACTGGTTTTATTAGATTATTCAATGAATCTATAAAATGTCATGGAGACCAGAGAGCAATATGTGTGGATGTTTCCTGACACAAGAGTAAAACGTTGTGGAGAATGGGACCCCTTCATTACTACACTACTCATCAATTATGATAATAAATTTCTGTCAGCCATACCATGCAAGGCTTCCTTCTCATGTCCCATGTCTACAGACTCCAAACACAAAGCATGTCAGTGTCCACCCACTTTTTAAATTTTATTTCACTTTTTTTTTTAATTAGTTTGGGGGGGTTTTTTGTTTTTTTTTTCTAGTGCTTCACTTACATTCATTCTTTAATGTTCTTTTTTCCAAGATATGGCACTCTGTTAGAGTTGGGGGAGAAGCGCAAGGACATGCTTGAGAAAAGCTGCAAGAAGTTTATGTTATTCCGTGAAGCCAACGAGCTCCAGCAGTGGATTCATGAGAAGGAGAGCACCCTCACTAATGAGGAGATGGGCTCTGATCTGGAGCAGGTTGAGGTTCTACAGAAGAAGTTTGATGACTTCCAGAAGGTAATGTCTGTTGTTTTTAGTTTGTTTTATTTTTTAAGCTTGATCCTTTTCCCAAAAAATCTACATGACTATTGACTTAAAGTTATCTGAATTACTTGTATATGGTCTTTACTTGTATGTGAATTGTAAACACAACAAATCAGTGACCATATAACAACTAAATTTGGCCCATGCAGTAGGACAGTGATCCAGAGCACAGAAGCAAATCTACAAACAACAAAGAAAAAAGCTTAGAGGTGTTGCAAGGCCCAGTCAAAATTCAGAGCTCAACCCACTGAAATGCTGTGATTGGATGTTCAGAGAGTTGTGCAGAAGCAAATTCCTGCGAACTGAAGCAACACTGTAAAGACAAGTGGGCAAAAAATTCCTCCACAACAGTGTGAGAAACACACAAATAATTAAAAGTTGTGTAACATAGAACTGCAGCAGTCCTTTGAAAACCTTCTTTTTTATGTATGTATTTGAATTTGAACAGACAGTGTATGACACTTTTCTTTCTCTCTTTCCAGGACCTCAAGGCCAATGAGTCTCGTCTGAGGGATATCAACAAAGTGGCTTCAGAGTTGGAGTCTGAAGGCCTTATGGCTGAGGAGGCCCCCATGGTTCAGGCTCAGGTAGGTGCTACCTCTCTGGATCGTATGTTATTTCACATAAATGAGCCATAATTAGCTGTCCTTTAAAAAACGTTTTTTTTTTTCTCATCTTCAGCAACAAGAGCTGCTTGGTGCTGCTCCTGGCAAGGTTGGTGTAGTTTCTGTTATTTATATTTGCATCCACTATAATAATTAAGACATTTTTTAGATATCATAGCAGTGTGCTTACTTGTATGTCTCATTTGTTGAACAGGATGAAGCGGATTCTAAGACTGCATCTCCATGGAAGGTAAGCTCTAACTAACAGTAATTTACCTCAAGACATCCTCAAACCTTCAGATGATCTTGTAAAGAACATGCATCACCTGAAAATACTTGGCAGCTAGTCAGTCTTAATTTGATACTGTAACCGTGCATGACTGCTCAGTGTTTGATACTTGTGTACCTGTTTCCTGCAATCATGCCCAGAATTACATTTTACTAGCATGGGGCATGATGACTCATGACTTTGTAGAATATGATTAGACATTGATGAGACAACTGGAAACTTGTAATTTATTCCTAAGATCCTTTGTAGCGGTTTTCATGTCTCGGGATGTCTCGATTGTAACAAAAACAGATGCATTCTCCTCCAGCCATGGTTGCAGTGCTAGTGAATGGTGTCTCAGTTGGTCTTGTGAGAACCAAGATTAACCCCGGGATTTTCCATAACGCTCTTGACTGGTGTGGTGTTTTTTTTGTGTCCATGTTTGGTTTACCTTTGACTTTAGAATATACGCTTGGCTGTTCAAACAACGGCTAACTTTAATACAATCAAGGTAAGATAAACAAGTTCAATCCAACCACTCTGCGCATTGTGATCAGAAACACTAACCATACTGTGATAGTGTCACATGATCTATCCCCTCATGTTCACTGAAACCTGACTTCAGTATGAGCAGTGTTCCTCTTGTTTTTTTTAACACAATGCTTCCCGCACCATTTGTCCTGTCCTGATCCTAATTATTGTTGCTGTAATATGAATGACATAATGCATAAGTTATGCTGAACCTGTCATGTTCTTTGTTTGTAATGCACCCAGTTCTGTGCATCTCATCTCCATCATCCACCTACTTTTGTTTGTCCATCGCTGTCTGTGCTCATCAAATACTCAGTGCAAAGTAGCACGAATTGAGCACATTATTTGCATGATTGTGCTTGAGTGAAATATGTTTAATCTAGCTTTCCTTGTGTCACTGTTAAACTGATCTTGAAATGTATCTGTTAGTGTGAATGACTTTGACCCTCTTTGCCACTTTTCCACCAAAAGTGCAAAAAATTTAAAACAGGATCTCTTTTCAGTCCACTGATGTTCTGTGTTTACACTCTAGCCTCAAGATCAGTATATTTTATACGGTCTAACTGCAAAAGCTTAACCAGTTAGATAACTTCATCTTTGCAACCCCAAAGCTTATGAATTATCATAAAGTACCAACCTGTAATTGTGAGCTTTTGGGGATGGAAAGTAATTTCTCTGGAACTGATTTGGGTTTCTGGCCCTGCCGCAGAAGCACTGAGGGTGTTGTGGAAACGTGGCTTAGTTAGGCGCTTTCAGACTGCAGGAGCTTAGGTCCTAAAACTATTGTAGGAAGTTCCCCTTTTCTTTCACCTCGGAGGATTTTAACTTACCTTTACTCAAGATGTGATTGAAGTCCAGACTTTGAATAAAAGCAGAATAACTGTTTAAGATTTGTAGCTATTTCTATGAATGCCACCATAGTTAGTTAGTATATAAATATACAAATATATTTAAAACATAATTTTGAATGAACGCTGTTTTTTATTATGTGGATGAAAATGAGTGCCTAACATCAAAATGCACTTGGCAACTTTTTTTGCTGTCTCCTATTGGCTGAAAAACAAAAATAAATCTAAAGATTTCCTCCTTTACTTGAATCTACGTCTCTTCGTACCTTATATTGAGAGTTGCCATACTACTTTTTAATAGTTTGACCTAAAATCCAGTCAAAATATTAAATGAAATAGGAAGAATTAACAATTTTGACTCATCAAAGCTAAGACTTTTCTTCTCGTTGCGTGCGTTGTTGTCGTCACCCCGGTGAGAGGTGGGGCAATGTTGACCCTGAAGTTTGTGAATGTGATAACTCAAGGATCATAGTTGTGACGTAGGATTCTTAAATTAATACCATAGGTGCATGTAGTAGGAGGCTGAGGGTAAACTGGCAGCTGCAGGTATTTTTATTTATTTTTTGGCTATGATTGGCATCCACATAAAAGAAAAAGTATTGTAGAAATGGAAGAAGCTGAAAAAGCATTACAAGGAAGTGAGACCACAAAAGTTGTTTGTAAAGCCGTCTGTGCTTTACACGTGTCACAATAAGTGGATAACATCATTAAATTACAACCAAACCAAACATGGATTGAACTTCCTTTTCAGGCCTGTCGTCATCAAACCCATAAAGCACAATAAACACACAGCATGCTCCTTCTTGTTGTAGGGCCAACTGCAACCTGTTGTGTCACATTGGTTTTCCTATTTTATTGCAAATCCAAAATAAAAAGCACTTAGAGTTGTGCTCCCAGTGAGCCGTTAGCCTCTAGGCAACTGTTCTGTCTGAAAGCGCCTCTTGTTTAGCGTATGCTCATTTCAATTGGTGTACTGCAACTCATCTCAAATGTTACCACTAGCATGAGAAAAACATGCTCCAGACACAGGGAGCAGTGTGTGGGATGAGTGCAGAGTGCTGTTTAATATTGTATGTTATGTGCAGGAGCTGAACAACCGCTGGCGATCCCTGCAACAGCTGGCTGAAGAAAGGAGCAACATGCTGGGCAGTGCACATGAGGTGCAGCGGTTCCACAGGTACAAATCCAAAGTGGGGTATCGCCTGTGATCATCAGTCATCGAGTTCACTCTCTGCTTTGTGTTATTTATTAGAGAAACGGGCTTTGGGACATTTTGTCAGCTACAACAATTAACTTGAGTTGTGTTGTGTGTCCTAAGGGATGCTGATGAGACTAAAGAGTGGATTGAGGAGAAGAACCAGGCCTTGAACACTGACAACTACGGTCACGACTTGGCCAGTGTCCAGGCTTTGCAGCGCAAACACGAGGGCTTTGAGAGAGACCTGGCTGCCCTGGGGGATAAGGTCAGATTTACTTTTAGTAATTTTAAGCCTGAAATCTTGTATTTATTTTTTATTAATTTTCCCATTTCTCTACTTAGGTTAACTCTCTC